CAGGCATCAAACAGGGATGTGTTATTGCCCCAACTTTATTCTCCATCTTCATTGCTATGATACTTCACCTTGCTGTTGGGAAGCTTCCCACCAGAGTGGAAATCATCTATTGGACAGATGGCAAGCTGTTTAACCTCAGAAGAAGATCTACAAGCCACTCTAAACACCTTCGCAGAAGCATACAAGAAGCTCAGCCTGTCATTGAACATCGAGAAAACCAAAGTGCTGTTCAAGCAGTCGTCGGCCAAGCCCTCTCTAATGCCAGAGATACAGCTTAATGGTGTAACATTAGAAAATGTTGACCATTTCCGCTACCTTGGCAGCCACCTCTCCACCAAAGTCAACATCGACACCGAAATACAACACCGCCTGAGCTCTGCGAGTGCAGCATTTTTTTGAATGAAGCAGAGAGTGTTTTAGGACCGGGACATCTGTAGGGATACCAAGGTGCTTGTCTATAAAGCTATTGTCCTCCCAACCCTGCTATATGCCTGCGAAATGTGAACTGTCAACAGACGTCACATGCAACTCCTGGAACGATTCCATCAGCGCTGCCTCCGGAAAATCCTGCAAATCTCTTGGGAAGACAAGCGGACAAACGTCAGCATGCTGGAAGAAGCAAAGACCACCAGCACTGAAGCGATGGTCCTCCGCCATCAACTCCACTGGACCGGCCATGTCGTCCGAATGCCCAACCACCGTCTCCCAAAGCAGTTGCTCCACTCCGAACTCAAGAACGGAAAACGAAATATTGGTGGACAGGAAAAGAGATTTAAAGATGGGTTCAAAGCCAACCTTAAAATCTCTGGCATAGACACTAAGAACTGGGAAGCCCTGGCCCTTGAGTGCTCCAGCTGGAGGTCAGCTGTGACCAGCAGTGCTGCAGAATTTGAAGAGGCAAGAATGGAGGGTGAAAGAGAGAAATGTGCCAGGAGGAAGATGCATCAAGCCAACCCCGACCGAGACCGCCTTCCACCTGGAAACCAATACCCTCACTGTGGGAGAAGATGCAGGTCCAGAATAGGGCTCCACGGCCACCTACGGATCCACAAGAATACTGATCATGGAAGACTATCCTACTCATCCAACGAGGGATCACCTAAGTAAAGTAAGTAAGTGTTTGGAATATATACACAGCAGAGTGGAAAGTGGCAGCACCACAGAATAATTCCAGTTAATTAAATTCCAGAGTAATAAGGGTTCTCATTATTCTTTCCACTGTGAAAAAGGGATGTAGGGAGGGGGTATTATGGTCAGCACGACACCTTTCCTTGCTAGGATAGCACAGGAAGAGATTTCAAATGTACTGGCAAAGCCACAACTAAAGCCACACTTACTCATACATGATACCTGTAAGCATTAAGTGCCGGCACCCCTGTCAGGTGGAAATGGATCTAAAAGACCTATAGGCTTCATTCTTGTTTCGCAAAAATATGCATGCATCATCTCATCCATGGTTAAAATTAACTGTAGGCTCTTTGGAAAGTTAGGGAAGTATTATTCTATATAAAGCTCTAATACACCAATAAAATTCCCTAGATCTTATCAAGCATACAAAGTTACTTTTAAGATTTGTGTTAGATCTATTTATTAATTCCACATTAACTGGAAATTACATGAGGTTGATGTTTGGGTTTAAGCCATTAAAGCTTTTGGCATGTGTTTTCAATGCATTCCAGCTTTCTTTTGCCTTTTTAAAATACTGCCTCTAAAATTCTTGTCAAGAACACCAAATTCTGAGGCAAGTTTTAAAGCCAAAGATTCCTTTCCCTTAAAAGAAGCAAGTTTGGTTTAACTAAGTGTTTCATAGACAACTTCACTGACACAGATACAAATCAGGAGCAGATACAAGTTTACTTTCTACAGAATGGACTGTATTTTTTAAGTATTCAATTTAGCTTATGCCTATTATTAATCATGTCCCCATCATAGGCTATTACTTGTGGTCAAATATGGTTGTCTTCCAGGGGTAGAGTCTTGGTGGTGGGTCCATAAATGACTGTGGAGACTTATTTTGGGTCCACGTGGTCTAATTATAAACACTGTTAAATGTCTATTAAATTTTATTAAATGCCTATTATTAAGTATGAGCAGAATGTTATTCAACGATAATGTTGTTTTATCATCCTTTTCATACATATGCAAATATACCTTCTTGGAAGAAAACTTTCTATAATGGGTTTTTCTTAACCTACAAAATAAGTATTTCATTTTGTTTTTGTTTGAGTTGTACAAAATACACTTATCCTTCACAATCCTTGCATAGGCCCAATATGCATTATTTACTGTTAATTTTATGTATTAAAATATCTCTGTTGTTGTTGTACACATTCAATTTTTTCCAACTCACGGTCACTCTAATAAACAAATTATGGGGTTTTCTTGGCAATATTTATTTAAAGGATTTTTTTTACTTTGCTTTCCTTTGAGGCTGTTAGCTTGCATATGCACTGAGTAAACATTTACTGTAATATGAAAGCACAACAATAAATTTCAGAAATATTGATTTATTTTGGATCCTCTTTTGTGAACTTGCCAAATCAAATTACAACACTGACTGCACTGGCACTTACCACAAATGTGTAATGCTGTGCAGACTTGGCCACAAATTCTGGCTTGCATTCTCCGATGCAGAGGAGCGCAGGACCGGAAGTGATATCAGGCTCAGCCTGCCCCATTTCACACACAATCCTGGAAATATAAAAATCTGCAGTGAGTTCCCTGAAAGGAAGAGATGTTGCTACATGTGATCTGCATTCCCTGCTGCAACGTTTTCATGCCTTCTGAATAAGCTAATTATGAAGAGGGATTTTTTTTTGCCATACAGTAATTTAAAGGGGAGAATGTCAAAACTAGACATAATTATTGCACACTGTAAACTGAAGTGCTAAGCAAAGCACAAATGGGAAATATATTAGTCTGTAGAGAATGAAGTGTGAAATTCTTACAGTAATGAATGGATGGATTCATTAAGGGAAGAGTTTTCATTGTGGACCACATCATCATAAGCAACAAGCACACATCTTCCAGTGGGACATTATAGACGTAGCCTAGCCATAAAAATATCTGAGTACTAGTGATGAGAGATTAAAATAACTGGAGTGGAACCTTATTAACACAATGTTGCAATATTTACTGATAAAATAGTTGATTTGTCATAATATTGAAAAGTGAACTGAAATACTGTGCATTAGACCTCAACACAGATAGTTTGGGCAACCTCTTCTGAAATGCAACCATTTAATAAAAGGAGAAGAGTGGGCTGCAAGATCAATCCTAAACACCATGCATTTAAGATTAAGGTAAAACTGCACACGTGATCAAGAACATGGTTCTGTCAGGATTCTTGATAATATATATATGTCTGGCACATGTATATTTATGTTATGTTCTACTCAATTAGCTTAGGTTGGAATGTGGAGCTGGCATCAGTCACCACCATTGAATCTGAATGTATTGAAGACTAGAAAGCCAGTATATAGCAAACAGTCTTGTTCTCTCTAAAGGATGGAAAAGAACCCCATCTGATCCAATGTTTTTGTCAACAGTAGCCTTTTTGCTTTTCTTCTGACCATCTGTATGCAGCAACACACAACACCTAAGACATCTGTACCGGTTAGTCTTTTTAGAAATAAAGTGTGCAAAGAACATAGAATCACTGAGGTGGAAGAGACCACAAGGGCCACCTAGTTCAAATCCTGGCCACACTATCAAAGTACTCCTAGCAGATGGACATCCACCCTATGTTTAAAAACCTAACTATGCAAACTCAGTAAAATTGGAATGACTGGAAATACACAGAGCTGGAGAAAGAAGTATGACACATTTGTCAATGGGGAAAATTGTACTTGACAATTGTAAATATTAGGACAAATGCATAACATATGCATACATTTCCACATGGAGATAAAAACAACACTAAACTGTTGTAATCAAAACCAAACAAATAAGAGAAGAAAAGGAGATTTAGAATTCTCAACCAGAGAGGCCCTAATGCCTCACTGAACAACATATCTTTAGAGCCCATGGGATCTTGTCATGGCACATAAAGTATAACCATAATGCTGTAATCATATAGTATGAAAGCACTTGAGGTGTGCATATATATCCGAGAAGGGTGGGAGGGAGGGAGTCAGTAATCAAACTTGAGTAAAGCAGACCTTGCTTAATTTCAGGCAACATCTCCAACTACTGTACTGGTGATGCATTCATGCTCTGAGAACACATGACAGCAATGCCCCACATAGACTTCCCCATTTCTCCAGCTTTCATCAAATCCACCTCCACATAGACATTTAAATCCACAAGACAACACTGTAGACAGAATGCTTGAAAGGGGCTTAATACATTAAACACACTAATGCTTCCAAATGTGAGATCTACTATCTCTACCCTTCAACACAAGCTCCCTGTAGAGATGCTACCCTTGGAGAATCATAGCAGTGCTTTGGAATGCTTAAATCCTTTGTATGATCTTCTCTATTATCATCTTAATCATGGATTATGTGTCTGCCTCTTTCCTACTCTGATCAAAACTGTGCTTCTTCCCTCACATGCTAAACACAGTGCGAGCTGTGTTTCATTTTTGTCTGGGCACATTGTAGATGTATACACAGGCTAGAAATTACATTGGGTTGGTGAAGAAAAATTATCAAATAGATTTGAATAGGGATTTGGTTTAGTTCAACCTCAGTACAGAAAATTGACACTGTCCACTTAAAAACAACAGAGCACTAAATGAGACATTATAGCATAATCCTGTGAGGATTAAACATGTTGGGGGTACTTCTATGATTGCTTAACCACATACTCGAGAAATGTCTGGTTATGTCCCTGTAGCCAGACACAAATTATTACACTGCTAAGGTACAGTGGAGTCCTCAAGAGGCTTCGGCAAAGGATGTAATCATTTTGTATCTGTCTTTAGTGGTGTAGCCAAAGCCTTATGCAAAAATCTCCTCTCCCAATTCTTCCAGCCTTGGGATAATGATGGATAAAGAAGCTCAATGTAAAGTTTTTTGGTTTGTGTGTGTGTCATTTCTTGCTAGAGAAGGAGGAAAGAAAGACTAACTTCTACAATGAACAAAGATTGGCCATCATAAGGTGGATTTATGCCTGCGTATGCCACTAATTAGATGCAGCCTAGATGTGGTTCTCAACCTGTGGGTACCCAGATGTTTTGGCCTTCAACTCCCAGAAATCCTGACAGCTGGTAAACTGGCTGGGATTTCTGGGAAGTATAGGCCAAAACACCTGGGGACACACAAATTGAGAACCACTGTGATAGTATAACAGGAATGTTGTCTAGCAGTCTGTAGCTGCTCACATATGGAGAACAGATATGTAAAATTTCCAAAATTTAATCCAAATTATGTTAATATGCCCTGAATAAGCAAATATGCCCTGAATAACCTATTTGTAAATGAATAAGGGATCATAGACAAGATATGTATTTCTGGAGTAATGAAGAATCATATATTCGTGTGTGAGAAAGTATGTTGTTGTTGTTGTTGTTGTTGTTGTTGTTCCATCCATCTATATATCCCTCCAATCTATATGACAGGCCGCATCCCTCCCCTCCTTTCGTAAGAGCTTGAAGACCTGGTGGTTTCAACAAGCCTTTGAGAATGACCAGTTCTAGTCCAGCCCCAAACATTGTTGAATATGGCCTTGCTCTATTTACCTATTACCCTGGTCATCCCTCTAATAAGCCCTGAAAATGAGCAGCCACAGACCCATATCTTCTATTGCCATTAGCCTGTTATAGCATTGTAATAGCATTAATTCCAGGCCCCATCATATTTTGAGTTTGCACTAACCTTGGCCCGGCTTTTTAATTGCTATGAACAGGCAGGATTAATTTTAATATATATGTGTTATTGTGATATATTTATGCTTATGTTATTTTGTTAATTTTTTCTTATGCTGTGGAACTCTCTCCCGATGGAGATCAGATCTGCCCCTTCCCTCCTGACCTGCAGAAAGCTAGTGAAATCCTGGCTCTTAGACATAGCAATCCCAGAATAATTGGTTGAATCCAGCAATAAACTAATAAGTACTGACCACATTTGTGGATTGAGTTGAACTTGATTCTATCTTGGCGATTTGGCTTATATGTATTTATTCTGTTTGTATTTTAACTTATTATGATATTATGATATTTTCAGTTGTATTTGTGCATCAAATTTCTGCTGTTAGCCGGTCTGAGTCCCTCTATGGAGGTAGAGAAGATCGGGATATAAAAGTTTTAAATAAATAAATGAATGAATGAATGAATAAATGTACTTTGTATGTTTCAGTGATGTTACTTGGAAACCGCACTGGGTCCCCCTCGGGGAGATAGAGCAATATGTAAATAAAGTATTATTATTATTATTATTATTATTATTATTATCATTGCCTTCCCTTTCTCTCACATGGGAGCCAAGATGGTTTATATAACCTAGATTAAGACAAAAGACTCATATTAACAAGTTCAAAACAATTAATCTATTCTATTTAATAATTTAAAACAGTAGAAACAGATTTTAAAAACAATAATATGATCATGCGTTTCATTGAAAGACTCTTCTGCATGACCAGATATTTCTTAATGCTATTATTTATTTATTTATTTATTTACGCCATTTCTACCCCGTCCATATCAGCCCAAAGATGACTCAGGGCAGCGAACAAATCGGCACAATTCAGTGCCATATAAAAACACATACATCAATATATATACATATATACATCTATCTATCTATCTATCTATCTACAGACACAACAATTTTTAATTGCCAGAAGAAACAGGGCAGAGTGGGTGTAGTCTATCTATCAATGGAAGTGGAAGGCTCTCTCATGTCTCCTAATCAGACTGGTTTGTGAGGATTGGGGAACTGAGGGAACATCCTCCCCTGAGGATTTTAGGAGTCAGATTGGTTTATATAGGGGAGTGTTATTTCACACAGTTAAGATCTAAACCATATAAAGGCTATGACAGGTCAACCTTTGAATCATGCCCAGAAATAAAGAGGTAGCCAATCAAATTATTTTAAAATAAGAGAGTTTATCTACGAGAGGTGGCAACTGTGGTGGATTTAGGAGGAACTACTGAGACTGCATGGGCTTTCAAAATTCTGGAGAAAAACAAATCAAATCAAAACTTTTAATTGAGGAGAGGGCTTGGTAAAGATAATGTTGTGGTATAGACTGCATGGTGGAAGCTACATCCTTGAAGGCTTTTAAACAGAAGCTGGATTACCATCTGTCAGAGGTACTTTGATTGTGTTTTTTCTGCATTGCAGGGGGTTGGATTAGATGGCCCATGTGGTCTCTTCCAACTTTATTATTCTATGATTCTATGAAATAATGGAAGGGTCTCTGCAGCTTCTTTACTGCTCCTGCAGCAATTATTTTAGCCAGAAAAAGAATAGGGTGTCCCAAAACCACAAAAACAGGCTGGGAAGGGGGAGGGGTCATATGGCCCTGGGGTTAGTTATTGTCCACCCTAGAAGAATGATGTTCAAACTGGGCCAATGTGACTTACATTGAAAGTTGGATATATGTGAGCAGTTACATGGCAACTGTAAAATACAACAAAACATTACCTTCCCACTGTGAGAGGTGATTCTGTGGATAGATTGTAAATTACCTTCTGCTAGCCTGCTTTTGATAAGACTTTGCTGTTTCACACCAATGTTTAGCCTGCT